GACGTGTGTGCCTTGTCCAAAGCTTCAGCAGCCAAAGTGGCCTCCGACTGCCATTGTTGCAAACAGGCCGCCAGTTCAGGTGCCCTGTCGTTACCTCCGGCGTGCTGCTTCAAGAACTCAGCAATGAATCTGGGGACAGGTACGGTCGCATCTTGCCGCCCGACGTACTGCGCTTCATCCGGTGCTATGTTGCCAAGAATTTCAGTACTTTGCAGCGACGCCTCAAGTAATGCCTCCTCTGGCAGGGCACCTTCCTCGGGTAGTCAGATAGTACACGACACGCCACTAAGAACAAGTAACAACGAGATTTCCTTTCGTCAATTTGTCAACTCGTTCAGTTGAAATCTGAATTCTGATAACTGGTTCATGGCCCATGGCAGTGGTAGCATAACTTACCGTGCCGTTCCGTCGCTATTTGTCCGATGATTATGCCAATATGATATGATGCGACTAACTAGTAACAATACTACTATCCTGTATACTACTAGACTGGCTAGACTATTCTCAACTGACCCACCCTACCGAAATTCCCAACCGACAGTCAGTCGATCACCAGGACACTGCATATGAATTATGACTCATATCATATGAGTCATATGAGTCATATGAATCACATGAATCACGGTTCCTGCTCGGCTACGCTGCGACCAAGGCACATAATCTCTACTGTACACTGTGCGGCACAATGGCAGTGTACCGTTGACCGTTACTAGTTACTACTGGGTTATCACCGAATCATGTACTACTTCCCTTACCCTTTCTTCCCTACGTCACATCCAATGGCCCAATGGGCCCAATGGGAAACGCGAATTTGACGCGAGTTTGATGCATGCGCACGATCCGGCAGTGCTGACACGGCATCACTGCATCACGCCAAAAACAAGATAATCGAGTTATTGGTTATGATCGCAACAGACAGTTGGAACTTAGAACAGCGGGCACAAACAACCATATGTCAATATGCATTTCAAACCAAGCTTCTTGCATGGACTCAGTTGCCAAACGCAGAAATTATGGTCCCCGGGCTTTTGCACCTCCAGCCAAAGCACGTTCGACGGTCTCTTGTTCCCTCTGTGTGTTGGCATCCTCCAAGGTTTCGTCGCGAGCCTTAGAGTTTTGGATTTCAAGCAGCGGCTGAGCACGAATGGGCCGAATGGGTTACCGACTATCCGACACTGGGGAAAAAAAACAATCTCCAGTCGCAAACAATACATACTGCCGGGACTGATATCTAGCTAGCCACAGCCGCTCGTTCGATGCCCTCGTCAAAATCATCATGGGTTCGCATACGCATTTGCTCATCTACAGCCAAACGCAGAACTTCATCCTCTGAGAGATGTGTCGTGGGAACAGCAGAGTTGGCCTCATACTGCTCCATCAACTCCATTAGATTGTCCATTTCGGGACTTTCCCTGCTAGCGTCAGGGTCGCCATCGTCGTCATCGTCGTCCATGTCCATGTCCGCATCATCTTGATGTGGTTCAAGCTCCTTCATCAGCTGTTGGGCAAATTGGTGACCAAAAAGCTCAGTCGCTGAAGCGAGGTCGAATGCTGGGTTTGTCTTGTTGGAGTCGCCGGGCATGCTGGCGTTGTCGATCTTGTCGTCACTGTCGTCGATCTTACGTTTCTGCGACACCTTCGGTTTCTCGCTGGTTGATTCGGTTGATAGTGCATCTAGTTTAGAAGAAACTTTCTTGCCGGGCGGTCTCATGCGCGTGGCAATTGCAGCTGACCCCATGAGCCGCTCCAGGCTGCCAGCCTTACTTAGGGTGCACACATCATGCATTCCTATGTCACACGTTACGATGACAATGACGATCAACAACACAAACCAATGAATGAATCAAGAAATGAACGGATGAATGTGTGCATGACTGTATATAATGCATAAGCGCATCCATGAGTGAGTGAATGTGTAAATGACTTAGCAAATGTGTGACTACTTGAACTGATGAATGAATGAATGAATGAATGAATGTGAATCAATGAATTGCCCAATGAATGGCTGAACTTGAATGAAACTATATGAATCAACAAACACACCGGTACGAATGAATGAATGAACGAATGAATGAATGAATGAATGAATCGACCCAATGATGGAATGAAACGAAGGGAGCGAGTGCGGGAGTGAGTGAAAGTGAGTGAACAAATCAACCGAGTGTGTATTCCGTTTTCAGTCGATGTCAGTGACTTCATTACAATGGACGGATCTGATGTGAGGTGGAATATGAATGTGTAAGCTGTGCAGCAGTGAACCCACCAGTCCCACGAGTGAATAATTGAAATATATGAACAAACGAATGAGCGGATGGATGGAAGGACGGATGAACCGATGGATGAATGGAATGGATGTGATATGAATGACATGAAATATGAACGGATCAATAGATGGATCATGAACGAATCAGCGAATCAACGGATGCGTCAAATTCGCGAATTTGAGGCTTGGGTTCGGAAATGATGGTTGTATGATATGGTAAGACATGGCATGATTCTTTTATCTCGATTTTGCCGCTGAAACTAATACCTAAGAAAATCATCATGAGACGACAGATCCGAGCGGCAATAAGCCATACACCCCAATATGAAATAACAATACTGTCATACGGCTAACCGGCTAACCAACTAACCTACCCGGTCAAGCATTCATAAGTCTGAAGACAAATGACAAAAAATAGTGGAAAGCCAAATCCCAACCCTGACTGACCCTAACCCGGACCCGCATACCTAGACTTTTGACTCAAGACCCCAACCCTGACCCTGACCGATCGTGAGCCACATGAGCGACTCGTCTGACTCGTCTGCAGATCAACGACACGAGCTGAGGAGCTATAGATGAGGTGGGTATCTATATAATATATGAAAATATGGTGAGGTTAAATATGTTCCAAAGACGGTAAGTTTACTGAATTTAATGAATACAAGTGTGTAACACTACATATATATATATATGACTGATGTTACTTTTTATACATTTTAATAATTAATACTGAGTCGAACGGTTTTCTGGCAAATACAATATTGACTGGATAAAGTCTGGATAGTGACTTGATTGAAGTCGATGTTGTAGTCGTAAGTCGTAAGTCAGTGGCAGTGAGGTGGCTGTGAATACGGGTGGCGCAGATGCACGACGGCTACATCTACTAATCTACATCCGCACTGAAACTGCATGGTAATAGTAATAGACTCTTATATGCTACCACAAATGCCACAAAATCAGAAATCAAACCCACTAATCCCAACCAAGAATCTTGAAGAACTCTGACCTGCAACAACACCACTGTTACTTCACGGTGTTTGTCTTTGACCGACTCGTACAACCCAGTGAAGATATCATGGCTTCCAATGAATTTCAATGGCGATCGCACAGCGTACTCTGTTGGGGATGTCCGGTCGCAAGCTGCTAGGTGCAGAGTTGATCTGACCTTGTCGCTCACCAGAAACACCTTGGCTGCCGCGGCAATGAACGAATCAAGGTCAGAAGGCTCTGGAGGTGACCCATGTAGGAAGGCAACTGCTGGCAGGCCCACCGAAGCCTTGAGCGGAATCGTTGCTAGGAACTTCCTGAATTCTGAATTCACTGCGACACCCCATATGTGCGCAGCGGTCATCTTTGAGCAGGGTCCACTCGGCCCACTCGGGTCCACAGAGTGCTGAACCTTCTTTGCCTCCTCTAAAGAAAGCACATCGCTCCGAGCCGTTACCGGAGCAAAACGGCCTTCCGTCTCCACTTGTGAAATCAATGGCCAACCAGCCAAACACTCCCGGAGCAGCATCTGGGCAGTCGGTTTCATATCAGAAAACTTGCGCCCACCCGACAGCCTGTAGCCCCCAACACCCAGGAAGTGTTTCAGCTGAAGGCGAGATGTGCAAAGGTCCATTGATCCGCCGGGAACACGCTTCCCGAAGAGAGAGAGCATCTTGTTCAGTCTCTCTGATTCTCTGACATCAGCTTGCATCATGTCAAACACACCACGGAGAGTCACGTAAAGTCTCACCCCACAGTAGCCAGTAGATGCACTGAAAGCCAGATCCTTGTGGAACATGGGACTCAGCCGGAGCTTGCGAACGTTCACATGCAGCTGGTTCTCAGAAGCACGTAGGATTTGGCGGGCATGCTCTTGTCGTTCAGCACCTGGGACTATGGGCCTATGGGGTTCAATGATGCGTGTACTACAGGTACTGAGCCGTTGCCTTACTGCCTTACTCAGTTTTAGCTAGTGGCTGGGTTGGTAGTTAGTATTTGGATTCATTACAATTTGATTGAAAGCCGTTGACCCTCGCCCCACGGCTGCTTCTATGAGTCTATGAGCCAGTCGAGTCAAGACTCAGAATGTGCGAGGCTTCTTGCGAACCAATACAGCCAACTGGTAATCATCACGCAACAGTGGGCATCTGATCTTGCGGTCATAGCCCGACGTGCTGTGCAGAAGAGCATCCATCCTTATAAATGCGTCACACATCCATCATGCATATGACGGTCACGGTACGACATTGCTGGTACGGCATGAATACTTGACTGAATGAACGAGTGAATGAATGATTGGACGGATGAATGAATGAACCAATACAGTACATGAGTGCATGAAACAATAAATGAATGCATTGGTTGAATGGTGGGAACATGGAACACTGGCAACTGCGGCAGCTGTGAATTGGCAGGGGCTACATTAATTCATGACATGAGTGTCATGTAGTCACGTAGTCATGTAGGTCATAGCAGTTCAGCCCAGCATGACCATAAGGAGTCGGAGGCGGCTACGAAATAGATCAATAGCACGACCCACGGACCGGTGGGGGGGAAGCAGCCTGAACGGCAGTGATCCCGTGAATTGTGAACCATTGGAACATCGAAAGATGCCAGGCATATATGACATTTTATTCAGACTCGGAATGTCTACAGTCTACTGTCAAGAAAGCGATGTCGTTCTGAATCCTCGGTTTATAGTCGTGAGTCTTGAATCATAACTTAGCACCATAGAATCATAGAAACATAGTCACCGATAGAAGGGTGTGAATAAGACTAAAAATACTGAAGATTCATAGGTGACCCGATCAATCACGTCAAGCATCGCAAAATTACGAATGAACTGTGCATCATCTGCCTCGAGATCCCGGGATAAAGTCGCCAGCCAGTCTGACTGGTGCAAACTGTCAAACTCAGCCCGAATATTGGCTGCCTTCCCCAGAACCAACTGAGCAATGTGGGACATGTCCTTGTCTGTGTCCTGGAGCTGATGGAGAAAATTCGAAACATGTGACAGCGGCTGCCTGCATAGATGCATGGCTTCCACGCATCGCCACCACACAGGGTCCTGCACGACAGGATGGTTGCTGCTGGTTAGAGTTTAGTGTTTTGGCATGTTTTGGGTTTCAGCTTAGGGTTTTGGGTTTAGGGTGTGGTTGCTTGGCTAATAAGGTTGACTCAGAGGCAGTCAGACAGGCGCAATCGTCAGGCACGTCACGTCAGGCCTATCAACAGTCAACGAATCAATCAACGAACCAACTACGAGCTAATTGACTATATTCGCTGGGGTCATTCACACACTCTTTGCGTAATCGGTAAAATCGGTCCAGTCCATCGATCCTTTCATGAATCATGCGTCTGCGTCACCATTGCTTTATTGCTTTACCAAATATCAAAAGCGTACCGGGCCTTAGCGACACAAGCCTTCAATGTTCAACATTGCAGCTGATGGCCGACTTTAGGGTGGAAGTTCCTAGAGTGTTCCTGTCCTAGACTCCTAGACTCACTACGGTCCGGTTGCGAAACAGTTTCATGATTTGCCACTGATGCTGCGTTGGAGGGTTTAGTCTAGTGGGGGGCCGAGCTTGTTGCTGGCTGCCGAATACCAGCGCTCTAAGTCTAAGTCTAGACTTATCATATCTAAGTCCTGGTTGTTTTAAGGGTCCCTACCGTCTATCGTCTACATATACCCTGAAAACAATATTAACTATACTCTAGTGTCTAGTCTTTCTTACTTTGTTGTTTCAATACGAATCAATCTGACTGGCTCTAATTCGGAAACGCCGGAAACGCCCAATACATCTCGACTCTGGATCGTGAATCGCGTCATGGGAACCCTGCGAACACTGACCCTGATCTCAACGACTCAAGGACTAAACTGCACTAAGCCGCCTAATCCGCGAGAAAACTAACCTTACACCTTATGCCACGCCGCAATCCTGGCATGACTCGGTCGTTTGCCCTGCGTTCGCAGACACACATGCACTCACACGGTGAGACCACTTGACTCCTGACTCCTGATCACTTCTGAGACCACAAGTCCGCAAGCACTCCTGGGCAGCTCGGCCAACTGTACCCCCGCTTTTCCACGGGATTGAATTCCATCTTGTGCACCGGCCGACGACTCCCGATCATCGAATCATCGATCATTCTCATGCTCGGCTTCATGCTCCCACTCCGACACATGCCTGTTCCACTCTTCACGACGAGATCCAGTGAGGCGCAGTGCAGCTTCCTGCTTCAGAGCGGGCCAAGGCAACGGATGCATGCGTCTTGTCAATCCTCCAAGTCGACCTGCCACAGACCTCGGAGCCAGCGGCGGAACCACGGCATTAAGTTCCATCCTGAAGAGTGTGTTCAAAGTTCTCTTCGCGTCATCAAGCCGACCAGCTTCCAAGTTCACTTCAGGGCCGGGGAAAAAACCGGAAGTGTCAGAGGACGATGACGATGACGACTCCGACGAAGAGCTGTGCCCAGACCCAGAAAGCCCATTCACGACCCTCGGCGGCGGACCCCGCGGCTCATTCACGGGCCTCGGCGGAGGAGGTTCCCGCGGCTCATTCATGGGCCTCGGCGGTGGCGGTCCCCGTGGCGGACCCTCCGACCCCATTGGCTCGGCGACAGAATCACTGCCAGAGTCAAAGTCAAAGTCGGAGCGCGGCCGTCTGCGTCTGCGATCTGCCGCCGCAATATGAGGCGCCATCGACGGGCCACGGCACGAACACAGCCTCTTCAAAGCATAGCAGCCCGCGCAGCGCAACCCACTTCTCACCCGCATTTTGCATGCCGGAGTTGGACGTCCGCTTGGCCGGGGTCTACGCAAGCTTAGCATCCTCAGGAGATCTGGCAGCCCCCTGCCCATGTCGTCGGACACATCGGACATGTCGTTGTCATTGTCCTCATTCACGCCCTCATCCTCTGCAGCCTCCGGCAGCCCCGTGTCGAGGTCCATGGTCACGTCCTCATCCTCTGTAGCCTGTGTATGCATGGCGGCACGTGGATCCAAGTCGCCCAACAAACCCACCTGCACTGATCTGCACTGCATTGCAACCCATTCAGTTGAAGCTGCATCTGCCTAGTGTTGTCACTCCTCCTGTAACTTTAGGATTTGAGTCGAGTCAGTCGTCAGTCGTCTATTCTATACCGACAACCCCGACACCGGTCTATGCACCAGTGCCTGGTGCTTGAGCCGTGCGTTGGCATTAGCACTGGGGTATGGATCGCATAGTCACATGGTGGTCTGACCCCGATTCAGTAATTCGTTCAATGGATTCAATGGCCCAATGGCATACCAATTCCAATAGGAATCCAGCAATCCAGCATAGCTACATGGCATTTCAGCATGAGATGGCCTTGAAGCTTGGGTCCTGAGTCCTGACCGCCTGTTTCTGATGATGATTATGAGATGCCGATATGACGATGTGACGATGATGATGATGATGATGATATTTCGATGATGACGAGCAACATGTTCATGAATTCATGATGGTTCAAGGTTGTTGATTCATGAATTCATGAACATAGATGATTCTGATGATTCATGATATATGTTGATGCCAGATGACTGGTAATACCTGATGCCTGATGATGGATGATTGATAACGGGCCTAATAATTGGGCATTCAGACTGAGTTCAGATGATGAATCATGATGAATGGTGACGGTGATGGTGATAAATGGTGATAGTGATGATGTGATATGTGACTCTGTGACGACGTGACGATATAATGTGACTGTACTGTACTATATACAGCATAGCCTATATGTACTGTGTGTATAGCCTTTATATACTATATACTATATACTATATAATATATACTATATACTATATACTAGATACTGTATACTAGATACTAGATACTAGATACTAGATACTATATACTATATACTATATACTATATACTATATACTATATACTATATACTATATACTATATACTATATACTATAGACTATAGACTATAGACTATATACACTATTGAACTTACACTGTTTAACTGACTAAAATTTCAAAGCTATAATGCACAAACCATTGTGGCAGCTGCTTACAACTAGTTGTACGACGAACCCGCTGCGCATAAATATCAGAACCCAGATCGCACATTCAGATGGTCATGAGATGGTACTGCGATGTACACAAATTACCCACCCGTGCAGCACATCAACACACCCCCGGAACCCTGAAGCCTTGAAACCCTCGGTACATGGTGATGCATCTGTCCTCCAAGCACTGCTTGGCCTGACGCCGCCATCGTCCCATCTTTGCGCTGTACTCCTGCTGCTGCTCGATGGCCAGCTCGTCGACATGATCCTTTTCTTTCCGGGAGCTGGAATCAGTTTTAGAATTCTTCGACATGATGACGTCAGAAAGGATAGGCGACAGTTTTGATTGGCCACATTGAAGGAAACGTTGCTCCGGCTTGTCGCAACCAGTCCATCTGCCAGAACAAGCTTTAGGAAACAGTGTACGAACATGTTTCTTAGCAGATTGCGCACCGTGCTCTTCTGACCAGCGTTCGAATATCTTCTTGCACAAATCTCTGCATACCGTGGCACATGTGGCAAGGCTGGCATAATATTTCCAGCTACGTACCCCTTTGAGGAGACGATCCGCACATTTGAGAGCTGTCAATGATACCAGGTGCTGGGAGTGTTCCAGGCAGGTTGTGTCAAAGTAATACACCTGAGGATTGCCCAGGAGCTCTGCATGGATGATCCTGCGTGCACCCACCTCGTTCGAGCCTGCATCCGTGGTGGCTACGAACCAGGTCACGCAGGTGTCAATGTCATGGTGCCTCAGAGTTCTCAGAACCGGGTCAGGACCGGGATAATTGTCGAGTTGTCGAGTATCCGCAGCGACACCCCTGTTTGCTGATTTCTTTAAGTCGACAAGTACAAGTTGCCTATAGCAAGTCCTAAGTCTAAGTGCGAAGGTGCTAAGGTGTAAACGAAAACTAATTAAGATTTTGAGGCTGTAACATATGGGATAATAGATTCATTGGTTGGTTGGGCCTACTTAAGGAACGCAACGTCACAGATTTGTGTTCTCTCGCGCTGCTGCAATAATTAATCCTAAACCTAAACCTAAACTCAACTCTGCGACAGAGACAGCGAGCGGGGGGGGGGGTGTCGATTCGTTTGATGCAGGGCCTATCGTATCATTGTTAACTGTTAATTATTCGTACTCAGTATAGTATTCAATAGTTCTCAGCCTCAGCCATTATTGCTGCTGCCCTATTCACAATCAGACCATTTGAGGATCTGAGTAAAGTGATCTATGATGATATGTATCGATAGATATGATTAATAAAGATTCTGCCGTGAAGACAAACAACGACGTCCACACCTGAACAGAAACTTGCCTGAAGAGAGATCTGAATTCTACCTGATTGGAAGTGGTCCTTACCTTGCATTCTAACGCTGTCTAACGCTGATGATCTGATGCTTTGAGCGT